GGGGTAAGACCTGGGCCCGACTAGAGTAAGAGTCTTTATTTAACAAAATCCCCAGATAAATAATTTGCATGCTAAAAACCAGCCCAGGCCCTAAAGCCTGGCATGCTCCTCCATCTTTCTCAAAGACAAGAAATAATGTTCTCGGCTTTGGAAATCTATCTGCTAGTGCCATTTCCTCGCCAGACTTCTGAATGCCTAAATGGGCTGCTGAGACTTTATAGTTCCCCCACCCACTGCCTCTAACTTCTAAAGTTTCTCAGTCCCACAAAGGACAGTGGCTGCTTTACCTTTTGACAAGATAGCTTCCCCTGCCTTCCAGGCAAAAAAGGCAGCTTCCAAAGCTACAGGGACTCCCAGGTCTTCTGGTCCTTGGAAGTCAGAGGGTTTCCCATATCCCCTTTCATTCAATGAATGAAGCTAGCACCCAGCACTCAGGGTTCAGGGACTTTCATTCTTTTAACTTTCAAGGTGCCACAGCTCATTCAATCCCTGGAATATTTCCCTCCACAATATGGACTGGTGAAGAAATCCGGAGGAGCAGCTGAGACAATGAAGAGCCTACTGTGGTTTCAGTTTTGTTGCTATCTTTGTTTTTAAACACAGCTACCCTAAAGTAAAAGAACCCAAAGCATATTTCAAACCTATACTAGGTAGGCCCTTGATCCAAACATCCTAGGTTCTTTCCCACTCTCTGGGCTCAAGCTGCTCCTTACTATCCCTGAGGACAAAGTCTACTGATACTCTCGTCTTTCTTGTTGACTTTCTCCACTAAGCTTCATCCTGCTAGCCAGCCAAGAGAATGTAAAAGTAAACAAGGTACATCCAAAAGCATATGCCTATAATCCTAGAACTCCAAAGGCTGAGGTTGGAGGATAATAACTTTGAAGTCAAGCTGGCTACACAAAAAAATTCTCTCAAAAACTATAGATGCTAAACAAGCTACCCTCTTCTTTGAACAGGTCACATAGACTACAAGAGCTTGGGTTTATTGACTTCACATCACACTGTTCCTCAGTTCCCTACATCCTCAGATTACATCAGCCCCTTATCAACACCGGAATAACCTGGCCATTATAGTTTTGTCCCCATCTGCCAGAGATATAGACCTCTCTACATTATTTCTCCACCTAACTTATAAATGGCAACTCACCCAAGAACTTAGTATTCAAAGTTCTCCTTCTTTAGCTTTGTGACTCTAGATAATACACCTACCAACAATGCTGCTATAAACAGTATGTACATGCTGATGACTCCAAAAAAATACATGTCTCGTTTCTACACCTCTGTTACTTGGAACTCTCCAAACCCCATTTAACTGCAAATATCTTTATTTTCAGTATATTTTTACATTATTGAGAAAAAGCAAACATAATAAACTACATATACAAAAAATACAAAGAGTCTTAAATAAGCATGCAATTAGCAACAATCTGCAAAAACTAATAAACATACAACTCTCCTACTCCTTTTGTATCTACCTTTTGTGGCTATTAATTATTTTGCATTTCTAGATTTTTATAAAATCAAATCATATGGTATTCTTTTGCCTATTTTCTTTCACTCATCATTATTATTCACTCATTATTATGGGATGTATTTTATCTTATGGTACACATCAGTCATTTTTCTTTTTTCATTGCTAATTTGTAATTCAATTGAATGGACATACCAAAATAGGTTATAAATCATTCATATACTGATACATACTTGTTTCACTTTAATGGTTAAAACTGAAAATCTGTGTATAAGACTTTTATTTATAAGACAATGTAGCCAATAATTTCATTTCACTAAGGTAAACAACCAAGAATGGAATGGCTAGATCATATATTAGTCATATGTTGAACTTTTTAAGAAACTATCAAACTCCTTTCCAAAGTAATTGCCCATTTTTCTCCCCATCAACAGTACTAGTTATGTAATATCCACACCAACACATGGTCAATCTTTTTAACTTTAGCTATTGTAGTGGATCTGTAGTATCTTGTGATTTTTATTTTGTATTTCCTTAATAACTAATCCTAAGTATCTTTTCCCATATTTTCCATATCGTTAGTAAAAGCTGTTCAAATTTTTAATGTATTGCATTTTATAACTGGGTATTATTGAATTAATTTCTTTATACTCTAAATAAAAACCCATAGTCAAATAATGTTTTTGGAATGTTTCCCCTTATCTGTGACCTATTTTCTTATTTTTAAAACAGTGGCTATAGAAAATCAAAAGTATATGATTTTGATGAAATCAAATTTATTGACTTTTTTCTTACACATTTCAATTTCTTTTGTTATACTTAAGAAATATGGGCCAAATCTGATATCTAAAATCTGGAAATATAAAATTTTTGACTCAGTTTCCTTCTAAAAATCGGTGTTTTTACACAAACATTGTGATCTGATTCACTTCAAGCTACTGTTTCCTTTCTAGTCCCTATTTTGTCCATTGGTCAGACTGAACCTAGAGCCAACTACAGATACACTCACTTACAGTTGAGTTCTTTCCTTAGCCCTTGGCATTTTCATTTTCACTCTGTAACAGACTGGCCTTGAACTCACAATGTAGTCAGTCAGGCCTCCAACCTGAAATATTCCTTCCTCAGCTTCCCAAGGCACCTCGCCACCTGTCCTAATCCCTGTATATATTAAGGGGCAAAGCTAATTTATTTTTGTATGTCTATAAAACTGGCACAGAACATTTGTTGGAAAAGATCCCTTTCCCCACCTTAGCAATTCACTAGAGAAACAGTTAAAAATGTATGAGTCTATTTATAGGTTCTCCATTTTGTTCCACTTATCTGCATGTCCACCTTAATGCTAGCAGCAGACCTACCTTGAGTACAGGAGCTTTAACAAAGGTCTTAAAACCAGGCGGGTGCTATTTCCTCCAATTTTGTTCTTTGTTTGGCTCTTCTAGATGTTCTGCTCTTCCACACAAATCTGGAAAACTGCCTACAAACTCTATAAAGAGACTGCTAATATTGAGGGGGCAGTGCACTGAATCAGTTTGATCTTAATTATTTGAGTAGAACTGGAATTGTAATGATATGGACTCTTTTATTTCATAAACATGTTATTTCTTACCATTTACTGAGTCTTCTTTCACTAATGAGCTATAGTTTTAGTGTACACTGCTTATATTTTTGGTCACATTCCTCCCTAATTAAGTCACATTTTTATCCTATTGTAAACAGCATTTTCAGAAATGTTTTAATTTCCTATTTTTCATTGCCAGTATGTAGAAGTACAAATGATTTTTTTATATAAACCTTCTATCCTTCAACCTTGATAACTCATTTTTTCTAGTATCTTTTTCAATAGACTCATTAGAACTTTCTACATAGAAAAATCACATAGTGAGATAATAAAACAATTTATATCCTAGTTCCTTTTTGTACTAGCTTGAATCTCCAAAACAATGGGGGAAGGCAGGCTTGGTGGCAGATGCCTACATCTCAGTACTCACTATTCTAGTACAGGGAGACTAGGGCAGGAGGGTCCTGAGTTCAGTGCTAGTCTGGGCTTCCCAGCATGACTCTGTCCTGCCACACCAGAAAGAAAAACAGGGACATTCCTACTCCCTCCTCGATTTTGAGGGCAGAGCCTTCCACCACTAAGAATGACACTGTTCTAATGTCTTCTACATGTTCTTTGTGTTCTCAGGTTATGACATGACCACTATTCCTGTTTTGCTGCAAATTTTTATCACAAATAATTGTGGAATTTTGTCAAATGTGATTTCAGTGTCTACTGACTGATACTTGATTGAAATATGGTGTCAAATTTAGTGTTAAATGGTGACCTACAATGATTTCTTTTAAACATTAAGTCAACTTTGCATTTCTTGGACAAGTCACACACTCATGTTCTAGTCATATGTACACGCTCCTAGAGTCACTTTGCTAACATTCATTTTGTGAGATGCTTGCTCACCTGTGTCTATAAGAGGTATTCATCTGTAGATCTCATATGTGGTTTCCCACTCTGGTATTTCACAATAGTGGTTTCATAGGATGAAGCCAAAGGGGTCACTCCTTGTGTAAGACAAGGAACGTTTCTACTTTAAATGTTTAGTAGGGTTTAGTAGTAAGTGAGAACATCTAGGATGCTGAAGCACTTGTCAATAATGCATCCCAAAAGAAATATATTAATAAGCTCAGGTAAAACCAGTGACTTATACAGCAAAATATGCTCGTCCTCATTCCAGCTAATGACATCACACTCATTTTGCTTAAACACAAATCTTGTGTCTGTGGTACCCCCTCCTTTCCCTGTCCTGTTCCTCAAACCTGCCTTCAATTCCTCTCTGTTCAACTTTCACATGCCAACTTCTCTTCACACTGGCTATCTGCAACATGAGACTTGCCCCCACTACAGTCCAATGTTCAAACAATAACCAAGATGATTTCTGGTTTGATTTCTTCCACTTTTACATACTAACTGTAAAAGAAAAACAGAAGTTTTTTTTCATGAACCTAAACTATATGACTACAGGGATGCTACCTACCTCACCAAACTCTTTCCTGCTCAACTAGCTCCAACAGCACAGAATTTACAAAATCAGAACTCTAGATCCAGGCCTGCTGGCACATGCCTTTAATTCAGCACTAAATATGTACTGCTGTGTGTTTCAGTACAGGAAGCAGAAATCTAGAAAGAATACCATCATTACCGTGGATTTGTTGTCCCATCTCTCACAGCACAGGGTGTAGAAAATAAGGAGTGATTTCCAGCTTGACAAGACCTTATACGCATTTTTCTTATACAAAATAATATCAGAAACCCATGCAAAGATCTGACAAGGTAAATGGATGGAAGAGGGAACAAGATGCTTCAGACCCCATTCAGTAGCATGATTCAAAAGCAACACTCAGTTATACCTTGGGGCACAAGGGGCCTGTAACCCACAACACACACACACACACACACACACACACACACACACACACACACACACACACACGGTGCCTATAAGTGCATCATGGAATGCATAATATCCTATGAAGAAAATAATTAGGAAAGGAAATTTAAACTCACCTTCCACTGGTCTTCAGGAAGCAGTTTTACAACCACAAGGTCCCCATTTAAGGCTCTATTACGAGCAACAACTCCATCAATAAAAATGTCCCGATCACCATCCTAAGTTGGAAGGAGAAATAAAGGAACAATCAACTTACCAAGGTCTGGAGCCAAAAATGTATTTCTTTAAGTGTTTAGACTCTAAATCTGTCTACTAAAACAACAAGAACTCTACTCCATAACCTTAAACAAATCTGAAGAGAACTAAAATCTCTTCTGATAAAAAGAAATGGCAATGCAAAACTAAGAACAGAGTAGCAGAGTGCTAAAAAAAAAAAAAAAAATCACCAAATACTTCAAGAGATCCAATAAAGGCAGATAAAAACGAAGAAAAGCATGTAAAGAAAAAAGCTAAGGCTGTAGTCTCTGATTACTAAAACAAGAAAAATGATGTTATCCTTTTCAGCTTTAGATTAGAAAAAGAAAAATCTCTACAGAAAGCAGAGAGAGAAGGAAGCAACAAGAGCTTGAGGTTAATTTAACAGATACATATAGATAGATAGATAGATAGATAGATAGATAGATAGATAGATAGATAGATATACACTTACACTTATATGTAATTTTAAGTAAACACAGAATAACGTGATTCCTTAAGGCCATTAAAACCCCAGTGCCAGGCACAGAAAACCTCCTTTCAAGTTGGTCAGGGAGTCCAAAATACTCTCAGAAGAACACATGCTATTTCTGTTTCTCTAAGTTGCCTCCCAGAAACTGAAGCTCAATCCCTACTGCTGAGGGCAACATATACTTCGTTACAGGACTGGGAGGAATGGAGCCATGGATCCAGTCTGGAAGCCTCCTCCCCCGAGAACTAACATTCATAGTATCGGGAGGTGCTAGGGATAAACAGAAACTGCAACCCAACTGTAACCATTGCCAATGAACCACAATACTGACCGGAACTGCAAGATACCAAGGTAGGAAAGTGGCCATCAAAATAAAGCCCACTCAGTAGAAAGGATTATTCCTGATACTGTAAATCTAGCCAACTACTGAGGACATGGACCCTAGAAGAGAGCCTACTACTGCTATATTCCTAAACCAGCATATTTTCTACCGCAGTCTAAATATTTATCCTCTCTATCCACACAAAAGTATAGCTCTCTCTCTCTCAGCCTCATCATAGAAGCTTCTTTTACAGCAGAGACCATGACAGAACTTCACACTTGGCCAAAAGGTGTGTCCAGCCTCAAAAGATATATCTATGGCACAAGCCCCACACCTAAGGCTCAAGGAATATGACAGAAGAAAGAACAGAAAGAATGTAAAAGCCAAAGGACCAGGATGTCTGCTGCAAGGTAATGTCTCTTCTATATATGATAAGGAGGCTGCACAATAAAATCTCAGCCATGTGTTACATAAACAAAACCTGCACAAGGATGACAACAGTTAACATGGATGAGGGAAGTCTCATAAGACCCCCACCCCTAGATGATGAACCAAAGGCAATTAATGACTTCTGGGAGAGGAAGAATTAGTCTTCCCCTCCGATGACTCTCCTAATAGGTTATCCAACACACTAAAAACATACACATATAAGCAACACCAAACTGACTCACAGATTGTATTTATGTATTTATTTGTACATACATGTGAGTATATACATGCACATATATACACATAAACATATGCTTATAAATTTGATGAGTAGTGAGGAGACTCAGGAGGAGCTGGATGAGAGAGGGAGGGAAAGGAAATAATTTAAATACAATACTCATATATGAAATTCTAAAAAATGAAAAAAATGAGATTTATAAAGCATCTTCAAATCTCCCTCACTCCTGGCTTCAGAGCATAGTAAACACTAGACCAGTGGTTCTCAATTCATGGATTAAAACCTCCATGGGGGGGGTCACATATCAGACAGTCTGCATATCAGATATTGAAATTATAATTCATAACAGTAACAAAATTACAGCTAGGAAGTAACAACAAAATAATTGTATGGTTGGAAGTCACAACATGAGGAACTGTATGTATGAAAGGGTGGCAGCGTTCGGAAGGTTGAGAACACTTCTCTAGAAGCACTGACACCTTAAGCATTCTCAGTCCAGTCAGAAATACCCTCTCTCAGTGGTATGGTGCCCAATGATCCCCCTCCCCAGGCATCTACTTCAAAACCAGAGTCTTCTTGATAAGACAGATAGCTCTGCAAAATCACATGCAAGAAACAGCTAAGGAAAAGCAAGGTTTGGGGAGTCAGAGGCTGAGAGAAAACATGTCTCATCAATAAACATGTACTCTTCTTTATTCTTCCAAGTCATACTTATGTATTTCTTTTCATAGAATAAAAGAAAAGTTAAATGTTGGCTTTACAGGAGCTGACAGCAAAAGTGTCTGGAAAGTCACTTCCCTTGTAACAGAGATACTCTATACTGATAAGATTTAACATTCAAAAAAGAAGAGTACTATAAAAATCTAGTTAGTTCAAAACTGTCATTCCAAAATCACCAATCCCACCCTCAAGGGGAAAGGGAGAAAGAAAGAGGGAGAGGGTGGGGAAGGGAGGGATGGAAAGACAGGGAGGAAGGAGGGAGGGAGGAAAAGAAGGGAGGGGGGTTTTTTAGCCACTCAGAATGTTTTATAGTTCCTAGTTGCAAACAAATTTGAGATATTTTAAAACAGATTTTTCTGTTCAATTTCCAATCTAATGATGGCTGGCAGCTGTGGCCTACATTCTGTTAAACCTGACCCTACCCCACCCTAGTCCCTAAGGAACAGCTACCGTGTTAGCCACAAAGAATTACAGCAGTTTAACCTTGTGATGAGACTCTCAAGAGAAACACAGATGACTGGTAAAACAACTCCAAGTATGACCCATCACAGTAATTGTTGCATTCTGCAATGTATTTAAAGCACCATGATCTTATGAACTCCCTCCAATGAAGAGAGCTGTTCAGAGGCTCATCCCTTAACCCATTCCCGTGCATCAAAACATCAGCAACACAATGCCTCAACAAGCAGCTGTAATCATCCTTTGGCAGCTCAGAAATTAAAGATTGGCTATACTGTGATATTCCTGTCTCAAAGAACCAAGAAAAGAGGGAATGAGTAGAACCTGAGCAACCTCTAGCTATTCTATCTCTATTCAGTCTTTGATTAACTCAGAAGACTGTATCTATAGGCAAGACTACCATTTTAAAGATACTAAACCTAGGAACTGCTCAATTCCAAGATATAAGCATTAGACATATGTGACTCATTCCACATATTTGGGATCTATCATAAGAACACAAAATTCTACTTTCAATCAGTAGAAATTATAATGACTCCAAGTCAAGTTCCCTCAACACAAAACATTCTTTTATATACCTGATGATAAAATCTTAGCAACTGGCTTAGGGGGATGTTCTCACATGGCAAATAACACTAAGTAAACATTTTAGATTAAAAATAAACCTAACTAATTTAGTAAAATCTCCTTTTTTTTTTCTCTCCAAAAACCTTAGAATTTTGAAGCTGTGACCAACAGGTGATATTTAATCAACTCTTCATATTATATATAATAAGGAAAACTTTCTATTTCCTAAGGTCAGATCAGAGACTCATTTCATATCCTTTTCTGTCTTACTTTCAAGCCCCAACATCCCTCTTGTTAGTCTACTTATGGGATTTTGCAGTTCATAGATGTTTGTTCTTGACATGGACACGAACTATACTCTTAGACAGAAATCCACACTACTGAATTCTACTACTGTCCTTTTCAATTCCTTTCTACAATGCCTCTGAAAACCACAGCTGACCAAAAGAGCTCCAAACCAAGAATGCAGTACTACTCTAATGTCCAAAACTATTTCTATTCACCTACAATTAATTAGGCTCTGGTGAGCAGCTTTTGCAGCCAGTCTTCACAAGAGGTAAATTTAGTAGCTTTTATCTTTCTCAGAGAATATGACTACCCCATTAGATTCTAGATAAAAGAACAAATGAGGCATAGAAAAGACCAAAAAAAAAATCTTAATACTGAATCTATCTGAAACTTTCTAAATAGAACATGACAGAAAAACACTTTCAAACTGAGAACCTCTGAAACATCAGTACATTTTGCTTTTACTTACTAGCTTTTTTTAAACAAACCATTCTAAGGCAGACAGACACATTTGCAAAGTAAAGAATATTAATTTAATTTGTAGAATTCTCACCATGCCCTCAGCCCACCTCATCTGACAAGGAATTCTAAGAGACAAAAGATTGTGTCCCTGAAACTGGCCCAAGCACCTAGGAAGCACCCTGGACTATATGCAGAGCAAGGGGCAGTATTGCTAAGAAACATGAATATAGTACCCAGATCTATGAGATTAGATAGCAACAGATGCACATGCAAGAGTCCTGTTGGATTGTACAGGAACCAAAAGGAGACAAGGAATCAGGCTTGAGAAAGAAAGGGAGTAGAACACAAGAGAACACTCTGTATTTCAGTTAGCCTAAAGCTCCAAGGAATATGAGTTCTATAAACAAACATGGGTGCATAGAGGCCTATTTGTCATAAAATGTAGTTTTAAGATTATTTTTATGTACATGTGAAGGTGCACATGCATGTAGGTGTCCACCTAGGCCAGGAAAAGGAGTCGGATTCCCTAGAGCTAGAGTTACAGGGGCTTGTAAGACACCTGGCATGAATGTTGGGATACAAACCTTCATCCTCTGGAAGAGCAGCAAGGGCTCTTAACCACTGAGCAATCTCTTTGACCCATGAAATTTATTTTTGCTTAATGAATTGTTAGTTTGATTTACATATTTATATTTATTGTTTTTTAATTAAGTATAAGGCATGATGCTATGTGCACCTAATTGTAGTGTTCACGGGCATAAGACTTCCTGGAGCTGGAATTACAGGTGGTTGTGGTGTGGTTACTAGGAACTGAACTCAGGTCATCTACAAGAGGAGCACAAGCTCTTGACTCCTGAGCCATCTCTTCAGCTCCTGATTCATAACTTTTTATATATTTAAATCATGTGTCTCTTCTGTCCCTTAGTCCTAGTCTCCACATTTGTTAAGTGCTGTCCTAACAGGGATTTAGCTTAGAGGAACTCAAAACTAAACATTTAGAAGAAAAACAAAAGCTAGTAATAAAATTTTCAAAATGCCTCTTTATCATTCCAGCCAATGAGGGTGAACATCCACACACAGAATAGATGACAGGTTTCAACTCTCTGCAACTCATAGATACTTTATGGAATGAATCCCTTACTCCATTAATTGAGACTCATGCTTTTGTTACTGTTTTTCATACACAGGAACCCTAATTTAATCAAATTCCTCCAACTGGAATGCTACTACAACAACAAAAATCATTCTTTCTAATGTGAGAAACATCGGTTATACAGAACCTATTGAGAGATGGCTAGTCCTGACTCTTAACATGGCACCTTCTTGTACATGATCATCAGATGAAGCAAACTCTAGAATCTAGTACCAATGTAGACCACACTCAATATACTCTATTGCATGACAGAACTGTTCCTGAGATGAAATATTCCCTCAAAGTTGTCACTATTCAAGTACAAGTCAGAATATAGATATGTTTTATCCAAGGAAGAGACTATGGTTCAGAGAAAAGAATGTGACATGTCAGAGATGTCTTTTCCCTAATGTAACAGCAAGCCTTGAACTTGGAATAAAATATGAGTCCTTGGTTTCTGGTGAGAAAGAGAAAAGGAAATGGGTAGAACTAAAAACAGATGGCAGGGTCACTGTAATAATAATAACAACAACACTAATAACATAATCACCTATGAAAAGCATGGTAGTATTAAACTTGCCATTTAGCAAACAAAATTATGTTAACAGAAACATTTGTGTCATATTTCTCTTCTATAAGTTCATCCCTATGGCCTTTTCCACTGTAAATAAATAAATGAATATTTTTTAAAAATGTTATAGTTATCCATTACAGCATCCTAGAAAAATGAGGCCAGGAACTCAAGAATATTACTCTCCCAGCTTTGCACAATCAAGACTCCTACTGCACAGACCTGCAGCTAACTACTTATCAGTGTGAACATACTTTAACCAGAGAGAAGCTCTTAGAATGAGTCATGAATATAAGAAAGAACCTTGTCCGAAGGCCTACCACCTGTATGAAAGTGAAGTGAGAAACTGACAAAACAGCATTACACATTATTTTTGGACAAATGTTCAGATTAGCTCATGCAGTAGAATGAAAGTAGATAGCATATTTGTTTAGGAAAGATTAACTTAAATCGGGTGGGAAAACCTATAAATCCTTTTAAGCTATAAACCAAGAGCATCCAATTACATGAACTGGCGGGTAGTCTGCCTGGGTCCAGCTGCTTTCTGCAGCCTCCAGAAAAAAATACCATCCCTCACATTTGGCATTCAATTTTAAGACTGGCAAAAGGGAAGGTGAACCAAAGACAAATTTTATTTATTTAAATTTGAAGAAAATCTTTGCCTATTCTCAATTTTGTTTTACTATTCTGCTTTTTAGTTAAAGTATATGATTTCCAAGTTCAGAGTACATCTAAAATATTCAATATGACATTAAGTTTATTATAAAGTTAATAAACTTACCGGAGAAGGAATGAAGGCTTCATGAAACTTCTTTGGATTAATTCTCAATACACCCTTTAAAACAAAATAAAACAAAAATCTATGAAAAACCTAACTAGTTGGATATTTATGATTTTTTCCTATGCTGTTCTCTGATTTAAAAAAAAAAAAAAAAAGAAATTCTTAAACAATTTGATTCAGAAAAAAAGTTAAATTTATGAAAACGATGGGTTATATGCATGAAAATTGAAGTTTGTGTAAAACACAAAAAGCTCAGATTAACACCTGCTGAGATGGAAAAGGTAAGAAATAGCAGCGCTTGGCACACACCAGGAAACAACTCCTGATCTTCACACTAACCCTTGACTTTAATGAGGCATCTGGGGCCTGTCTCACACTAGCTTTTGTTCTCTCCATTCCATGACCTCTGTCTGCAGTTGGTTCCTGGATTGGTTTCTAACTGGATACTTGGCCTCTAGGAACTAGCACACATTTTACTTATGGCCTCTCTGCAGAGCTGAATGAGTTAATAATTCAAAATGGTTCATAACCAGCTCTTAATGCAAATGGCAGTGCCAGTTCCCACACTGAGGCCACCCAGTCTGCCTTCAACTTCGTACGATTCCAGAACCAAGTCAAGGTCCACTTCTGTGTATGTACAGGGGTGCAGCTGGGGGCAATCCTCAACAGCAGCTCAGTGCTGTGCGTCTTTTCAGGAAGCCATAACCTCCCCAGATTCCAGCTGCACTCACAGGCCACTGGGACACATGGAGAGAAGAAGCTGTTTTCCTAACAACACGACTCAAAGGATAACTTGAGAAAGTGTTTAAATAACATTTCCTACTAAAAGGAATGACTCAACAGCACAAAATTCACAAGATAGGTGAAGACATAAAATTAAATGGAAAATCATTTATTTCTTTTACTAGTACTTTCCATGCCATGGAACACATCTTAACACACCAATTAGATATCACAAATGATCACTCAGTCCTTAACCATTTGTCAATTAGTGATTATGGTCAAAACCCGAAACAGACCACATAGGGTACTGAATAATAACTAAACATGGTCCTTGAGAAAGAAAATGTGTGGAAGGCTGTGAAGTAGCAGCTACAGCATGCTTCCAGCCAGGACACCACGAAAGGCTCCGGAGATCATATATAATCCTCATGGAAGAGCAAAAGATGAAAGCCAGCGAGGAGAGAAGAAAGTAGAGGTGTACTGTTAGCAAGAGCAGGCAAGACTCACTCCTCCCCCATCCTGCCAGAATTCTGCTTATAGTTACAGAACGAGGGATCAGGAGATACGGCTGACAAGCTGCCCAGGCTTTCTTGTTAAGAGTGCTAAAGCAAATTCACTTGTAAAGTAATTGTTTCTTCCTGAAGGAAAAGGAAAAATACTTATAATTCTTTCTAAATACTCATACACTCAACAAATATTTCCTGACAACTAGCTTGACGGGCACTATGTATGATTATGAGACTACAATAGAGACTAATAGACAATCTTATGGGGAAATGCTTCAGTAAACTGAAACAGTATTTTTATGCATTTCACTTTCTGATTACATACACCCTTTCTAACTTCTTTTTAATTCCTATTCTTCTTCTATCATCTCCCTTTTAGTTCAGGGAAGGGTTAGCCTCTTGTTTTGAGTGGGCCTTAAATTGCAGAACACTGAGAGAAGCCAAGGCTGGGCTCAGGGGAAAGACACACATTGTTCAGGTCTGCATTTAGGCTCTACTTAAAAGAAAATACATTAAAAGCACCAGAAAGCTCTTGATTCTCTATCCCAAACCCCCAATAAATGAAAGCATAGAGAAGAGGGTAGAAGCCTTTCTTCAGATCAACATTTGGAGATTTGACTTAAGAACTGGATGTTAGGAACAGACCCCAGAGAGAACAGATAGAACACATAGAAATGGGCAACTCCAACTGGGTCCTCAGCAGACCAGAGCTGTTCCTACCACCTGAAAGAAGAAGGTAAGCATAAAGCCTGCCAAGAATCAGTTCACCATCCAGCACAGCCATCCAGCAGAGGATGCCTCACCCAGAGGAGGCCAAGGCCTGCATTTCTGTCTTTCCATAACTCACCTAATTCCCCATCTTTCCTCTTTTTCAAACTTTTCCAAGCCTGGAGCTTGACCAGTGAGGAGTATCATGTACTTCCCATCCTGTTCTGGATGCTCCTGCAACTTCTTACCTCATCAGAACCTGGCTCTGCCCTAATAATTCCTGTCAAAGAGAGGATGGTGAAGACTGCTTCCCCATAATGGATTTAAAATTAGTTTGTTCCTATATTCTTTCTCAAAAACCCTTCTGAAGTTCATGCCATAGACTTGGTACAGCTACCTTCTAACTTCCTGATCACAGAACTAATTCACTAATCTTTTGACTCAGGTGTCACCGCTTTCCCTTCTATCCCAATTCCTATAAACATTTAGGAACTTAGAATCTACAACAATAACTGAATCACTCAAGCTCCCTTTGTCTCCACTCATCCCAGCTCTCGTTTCCACTGACTATACCCTACTATCATGTTACTTCAAACAAAAGAAGTCCAGCATCACTCTTACTACTTGAAGTCTTCTGTACTTCCATCTGATGGACATTAGGACAGTTTCACTAAGATCTCCATGGATAAATCCATCTCCAGGAAATTTACCAACCACCACCCTTCTACTATGGTTACCCACCTCCTTGGCCAACTAATAGTCGTTGCCTGCTATTAATCCTTAGCTTCAAAAAACTTGGGCCTTGGGTCCCCATTTCCTCTTACACACAATCAATAAGGCCTACCTCTCAAGTGACCACAACTATTTGCCTATACCCAAGTACCAGAATGGCACTACAGAAAAATAACACACAAATAGTATAAATAGTCGAACCTGGCAATCACAAATACATTTTAGATGGCTTACAGTATGTCTGAAACACTTAAAACTTAGTAATTTCACACATACAAATATGTTTCCAGACTGTCTTGAAAAATAATCCTAAGACATAAAACTGCAGATAGCTATCTCCTCAGAACAGTTGAATTACAGATGTTCCCTGACAGTAATTAAAAACAATCTCAAATACTACTTACATGGGTAGACTATGGGCCATGCACTTTTAAGAGCTAATGAATTAATTTAAAATAAGTTAGCTAATTTAAATTGGCTATGAACTAATTTAACTTCCACAACTATGACAGAGATACTTTCTTCATGTGTTACAGATGAGGTAACTGAGGCACTGAGGAGGTAAATTTGAGAGTCTAGTTCCAGAATCCAGGCTACTAACTGCCTCTTGGCTCCACTCATCACCAAGGCTTCTTCACTAATTTATACCCCAAAACCAGCACATTTCCAATTCTGTCTTCCTTAGCTTGGCTAACAGAAAGATCAGGCCATCCCCTGATCTACTCAGGTGCTTAGGAGTCATCCTGGATTTCCTTGTCCTCCCTGTCCACATCTAATCATCAGCGTGTTGTGTCAGCTCTAGCTCTCAGCCGCCCCCATTCCTCTCACTGCCACACCCTGTTCTCTTTTGTCCAGCTCCATATTTCCTTATCTAGTGGATCTCAATGGCTTTCTACATGAACTTCCAGCTTCCATTCAAGTCCACTCATCTCCACAACAGCCAGAGACATTTTTAAGACAAGAAACAGACTGTGTTCTTCCTACTTAATACCCTTTGGTGACTCCCCATTGTTCTTTGAATGAAATTCAAGTTCCTAACACAGTCTGAGACCCTAAATGACTTGGCTGCTGCCTAACTGTCCCTTTGCTCCCTTATGTCTCAAAAGGCAGCTTCTCTCTTGGTCCTCAAAAACTTCAAGTCTTCTGCTTGCCATTCTCCCACTCACTGAGCTCTCTACCCATAATCTTTTCTGAAGACTGAAAATGGCTGGCTCATTCTTGCCCTTCAGGTTTCTTTCACCTCTGGAATAATCTCATGGAGGCCTTCCCTAACCACACTCTGCAGTGGTTCTTTCAATCTATTCTCTCTCCTCTTTCTCTCTGAGCAATGATCCATCCTATAATTTCTGCCATTTCTACAGTTATTTTTGCCTTCCTCCCCAGTGACTTTTCTAGTGCTCATTCTCGAATGGTTGACATTCCCTACCCTGTCAAGTTCAGGAATCACCTAATTTCTATAGAGTTGAAGTTGTTCCTTTGTTCCTGGTATCATAATTCTGAATGCCACCTTTCTTCTACTATAATGTCACCTCTGTTCTCTTCTTTAATACACACCCAAACAGACCTCAATCTTTCCCCCCATTAAATGTGTGGGAGTTCTGACTGTATTTCTACACACCATGTGCATACAGTGCCTTTAGAAGCCAAAAGAGAGCAGATCCTCTGAGTCTGGGGTTACACTATTGTGAGCCACTATATGGGTCCTGGGATTGAACCTGGGTCCTCTGGAAGAGCAGCTAGTGCTCCTAACCACTGAGCCAACTCTCTAACCCCTGACCTCAATCTTAACAAAGAGTCAAATTCCTAGAAATGAGACCATCATGACCTCTGTCTTCCTAGAATAGGGTTTTTCAGTGGTCTAACACAACATCTCACCAATATTCTATTCCAGAAAGAATCCTAACATCATGTCTCCAATAGCTGTGGGGGCTCATTCTGAACTTCCACTAGTCAACCCATCATCTGGATTCTAAAAGACACAATCCTACCATCTCCCTGCCCTTGTCACCTTGGTTATCCTCCTTCCAGGCATGTCCATCATCTCTCACACAACCAACCAATACTGTACCTAAGCACAGTTGTGAGAATTTATTAAGAAAGCTACGTGTATGTAATCATGTTTTATTGCTATTCACTTCCAAATACAGAAAAGAGGTTTCTTTGGTCACTGTGGTTTCCTCTTTCACACAACAATGAAATCTTAAATTTTTGTCATGCCATTAACTAATACTATATTATTCTACTAATTTTTAAGATCCCTACTATCAGTAAAAGACTTTTCTCTTGATGGGGGGAAAAGGAGGTCCTGACATACATCTGAATAAAAAAATTGACATATGTTTCTAAGTGTATCTGAATATGATTAATTTTCTCCAGTGGCATTAAAATATCACTTCTTGTCTAGCTTTTTACCTTACCCAGACAACTACACACAGAAAGTTTATATCCAAAAGCAGATGTACTCTGTTTCTCTGCCTATGAAATCTTATTTACAATGTTGTATATTTCTCATGGTGACCTCATATCTGGAACCCATTCCTTACCCCATCTGCAGAGAACAACTGTTCTCATATGTGGGGGTGGAAGGAAAGAGGCCCTCTGGCTGTGGAGGCTTATGATGTCATAGACCAGGAGGAATCATTTACAAACTCCTGGGAATATGAGCTGTTATATTGATCAGATCTTTTTGTTTTATGATAATGCCAGCAAAAAGTCATTTCACATGCAAAAATTAAAAGGAATCAAAAACTAATACTATTACAGAACACTGTTCTAACCCTATTTCTAAAAGGTATACATCTATAATCAAAATCCTAAGCTATTTTTCTCTCATGTCCTAACAACTTCCATTTCCTTTACTCTTCTTCAAACGGTAGTATCTTGACCTTTATTCAGCCAGTAATTTTATATATATATGTATGTATGTATGTATGTATATATATGTATGTATGTGTGTGTGTGTGTGTGTGTGTGTGTGTGTGTGTGTGTATATATATATATATATATATATATATATATATATATATAAATTAAGCTTATAAGTGTCAGCCAAGTCTCCCACTGGGCTAACCTGTAGAATATGTATGACCATACCACTAAGGAAATGAACAGTCTATTTGGGGAAACATAAAATCCAAACAAAGGTAATAGTTTTAACATGCAGACAACAAAACTGACTTCTAAGCCAACTCAGCTTAGAGAAATGAGGGGACATTTAAGTACAGACTGACCATAGACTGGCAGGACAGACATGATTGTCACACTTTAGTGAGATGAGACAACTCGAGCACCAGGGCCCCAACGGCAAAGCCTAGGTGGGGCCCTACACTCAGTTTCATTTGGGTTTGTTTGGTGGTCGATGCTGCTGCTGCTGCTGACAGCGGTAGTTTAGATTTTGTTTTGTGGGATAGGGTCTCACTATGGAATTTACTATGTAGATCAGGCTAGCCTCACAAAAATCTGCCTGCTTCTGTTTCCCAAGTGCCGGGACTATCAGCACAAGAGACCCCACCAAGGAAGCACAGGTTTTAGAGGAAAAATCTGGAAGTTCAAGATAATCAGAACATAGCACATTCCTGGAAGGGGTGACAGGAGACAGCAATGAGAAAGACAAGGAACAGTGAGAACCAGGATACTTGCAGGTAAAGTGAAGTATATGGATGCTAAACCATGAAAAGCAAGCAAACATATTAATGAAGGGACAAGTATCCAAATGTGGTTTCTACTCTCTTAAGAGAGACATTTCAAAAAACATCCAGGAGAAAAAAAGCCAATGGTATTCCTAAATCAAAAAGACCAATTGATTTGTGAAAAACTAGTGATGTTTACAACAATTACGTGAGTTATGGGCCACAGGTAATTATGGAAAGGTAATAAATCCAGAGAAGCTGAGTTTTCAGAATGAGAGAAGATGAAATTCAGTCAACACTGTGCATGTGTGTGCATATGTATTTATGGGCCAACAGTCAATGTGTCTTCCTCGGTAACTCTCCACCTGGTGTTTCAAGACAGAGTCTTTCAATAAACCTGGAGCTGGGAGGGGTAGTTAGCAAGTCCTAGGAATTCTCCTGTCTCTGCCCCCTTAGTACTCGGATTATAGTGCACACTACTTCCCCCAGCTTTTATGTGAGTGCTAGAGCTGAAAGTCAGGTCGTCACGCTTGTGTGGTAAGCGGTGACAGTAATCTCCCCAGCCTCACTCAAAAATTTTAAGTGAGAAGAGTACCACATGACAGTATTTCTATCCAAGAACTATAAAACAGGCTTAATTCAAAGAAGGCATAGTCCTGCTTCCTTCTCCAGTCTCGTTACCTACCAGCTGCCTTGGATGTTACACTCAAGAAAACCTAAGCTGCCTTATCCTACACTCTTTCATAAGTTCCCCTGTAGCACTATCCTAACAGGAATTGTTCCTGGCTCAAAGATGGATGCTCAATGAACATCCGTTCAGCCACACCAATGAACAGCCAGTGAAGAGATTATGCAAACTACAAAGCATACAACAAATGTTGTTCACTGTTTCCTCTACAGCTTTACCCGTTTTTCTCAGTTATTCAGTATCATGTGGTTCGGGCACACTGAACAATTCAGTGTTTGGTATAGTCCAACCCCACTTCCCACTTGTATCTTAGCAGCTCACACTGGTCATTTCATTTGAAAAGCTCATTTTCTTACACATATTTGCTCAACTGCACCAATCTCTAGCCTGGCTACAGAGGCTCTCTCTTCTCACATCTCAGAGGTTTGCCTCCGACAGTTTAGTGGTACTCACCACCTCGACACATGCTGTTGGTCTAAGAAGCAAAAGTCCTGCACCATGTCAAAGCACACAGCACAGGACAGGGAACAGTTTAATAAACAAGACTGCTGCCATTCCATGCATCCAAGGGATAAATAGTCTATAGGTTTCAAGCACCTGGATAAGTGTTCCCCTCTTCAAGCCTTCTGAAACATCCTCCTTGGACATGTAGGTTTCAAATACGCTCTTTTTCTTCCCTCGCATGGACTTGTTCTTTGACTTTTTGTCACCTGGCGAAGCACCAACACCATGTGGGCCAACCACTGAGGACACACCTAGAAACATGAGGCAACAATCAACCCTCTCCTCAGTTAAACATCTCTGTGTCTCTTCTAACTAGAGGTACTATGCCTTCACTATTTTTGCTGGTGCTCTTTTTATCTATAAAGGCCAGCAAGAGAACAAACCTTTCCAGTGATGATTTCAAACAGTCACAAAAAGGAAAGAATGGGTAAGACAGCATAAATAAAACAGACCTCATTAAATAAATAAGACCTTAGTTCTAAGTGAGCACTGCTTTATGCATGAAGCAAATTTGAATAACGGGTCTGGTATGCTTTGCTATTTGTACACACAAACCCTTTAAAATAGTAATTGTTAAAAGACTGTCCCATTTCTGAAGGAATTAGAATGACTGTACAATTAACTAAAACAATGAGAGCATATCTAATTCTAGGATAAATAACACCAGAAGATACTCAGCAGTTCATTAAAAGAATTAGTCTCCCTCAGTCCTAAGAATTCCCTCTACCTCCACACCCAGTCCATTTATATTTTAAGTCTCCATTTGACAAGGCAAGCTTCATTTTCTTTTCGATACCTCTGGGGGTTCCCGGGGGTCGAAGGTTCAGCTTGTAGTCAGGATGGTTCATTACTGGTTCCAAGGTGGCCTCTCCTCTCCAGATCCAGGAACCCACTACTATTCAGCTAAGAGTTCTTCCTGCCTTGAGCAGCTCAGTTGTCACGAGCTAAAATCAAAAACAAACCGGTGACTAGAGAGCAGTGACCTGTGATTTCCTTTGTCCCCTGGGTACTTTAGTACTGAGGAACACGTAGATGGCAAAGACAATGTGGTGTTCTCCTGGGCCCTGGTGTCACACCCTCCTGGGTAGTTATACCACCCCATGCTGCATTCTATCCAAGGTCTTCACCCTCACAAGTACACTGCATTGCTTCTTCAGAGCACTTCAACTAAAAAGTTTCCAGTAATGGGGCAATGAAGTAAAAAATAAAAAAGCAGTAAACCTTATAAGACTTGGAAATGTAAAAAGAAAGAAAGGAAGGAAGGGAGGGAGGGAGGGAGGGAGGGAGGAGGGAGGGGAGGGGGGGAGGGAGGGAGGGAAAATGGAGGAAATGGGGTTTTAAAAGATAATTTTAAAAAATCCACCACCTAGATAATAAACACACCACCACAACTTCTGTTTGTTCATCTCTACTGACCAGTCACAGTCCTGGAGTTAAATCATACTTGCAAGCTACCAAATCCTGCTAAGCAACCACTTCTCCACAAAGATGTCACTTTGAACCCTCACTTCTATTCCTCAGATTTCCCTCATACCACCCTTACCAAATGATCAAAGCTTTCTTTAAACTAAAATTGTAATTAATGCAGAGAGGAGAAGCAACAAAATAAAGGTAACAGGCTACTTAGGGCTGCATGAAGTAATTGAAAGATAAACTTAATCTAAATATAAGGAAGAAACAAAAAGGATATCCCCAGAGAAACAAAAGGGGACAGGAAAAGAACAGAGAGGCTATCTGAGGGTTAATGCAGAAATGCACTTATTCTCTCATTAATTTAACAAATACATGCAATGCACAATAGCAAAATAAAAGATAAAGGGTTATTAGGGTTAAAAGGGCATATGGGCATAGCAATATACATTGGGAAATGATAGCAGCATGGTTTTCAAAGGATGGATAAGTATATATAGGAAAGAAAGAGCGTCCAGGTCAGGAAATCTGAGAGAATCTTGGGAAAGTTTTTTCAGAAATAACTAAGACATAAAGATGTGAGGAAAGCATACTTCTGGCAAAGGACACAAAAACCGGGATACAAACAGAAAAACACAGGCAGATTAATTCCATTTGGCTAGAGTCCTGCCTATATAGAGGAAGGCAGTGGCAAGGAAATTAAAACAAGTTGGAAGGTTTAGAAAACAAGCCGGGCTTTTCAAAGGCACTAGGGAGTTTCTGAAGCTTGAATGAGCAGAAGAGAACAACAGACCAAAGTTGTTTTAGTTAAAGCCATCTTGGCACTGAAGGTTGAACTGAAAACAGCAACAAGCACCTGCACCCCGTGGAGAATGAGATGAGGCAGGACTACAGGGAGGGCGAGAACCGTTGTGAAACAAGTGGTCACTGACAGCAGAGGCCTCTGACATGGTCCCCCATAGCTCTGGTGACTCACATAAAGCACAAACAGTATGGAAACTGAGTAGGTTCCTAGCATTGAGGCTGGGAGTGGGCTGGCCTAGTGTTGGAAAAGATAATGACTTCTGTTTGGGTTACTACATGTCCATGTGGAATAATCCAACAAATACTAGAAATACTAGCAAATACTAGAAAACATATTTTCTATAGGGAGACATTGCCTAGCTATTACATAAAGAGGGCAACCCAACAAGCTCAAATATGGATAACAAGGGTCCACTGCAGCAGAGAAGGGGGTAAAATGAGGGGTAATCAAGCAACCCTTACCTTCCCATGAAGCAGAGATACAGACCCCGTGGCCCTGGGCAGGGACTGAATGCTCCTGACAAGTCAGTTAGGGTAGTGTAACAAATGCAAAGAGGAAGACACAGAAAATATAACAATACCAACAATAAAAATATAAAAATAAAGATATAGAAAACAGCTAACAGAGTCAGTTAATAAGAAAACAAGGAAAAAGTTTCCAATTAAAAATTCAAGATCAGAATTTGTTCCCAATAGTAAGTTCCAGCACAACAGCAGCCTCAAGTCAGGTGAGAGGCTGATACAAATTGTTACTCAAACATTAAAAGCCAAAACTGAGAATGGGCTCTGTGGTATCTGAATAAGAATGCCCCTATAGGCCCATACATTTGAATGCTCTGTTGCCAGGAGGTGGAACTCTTTGATAGGATTAGAAGGATTAATAGGTGTAGCCTTATTGGAGAAAGTGTGTCACTAGGGGTGGGCTTTAAGGTTTCAAAAACACACACCAGGCCCAGTGTCTCTCTGTCTCCAGCACCTGCCTGCATGCTGCCATGCTCCCTGTAATGACGATAATGGACTAAAGCTCTGAAATTCTAAGCAAGCCCCCATTTAAATGCTTTCTATTATATGAGCTGCTATGGTCATGGTGTCTCTTCACAGCAACAGGACACTAAGACTGGCACTTACATATCAATCCTGACACAGTGAGGAATTTACTGAGCCCAACTCCTGCAATCCAGCTGTAGAGAGGGAGAAGTGATGAGCAAAGGGGTCAAGACCATGCTGGAGAAACCCAGAGACAGCTGACCTGAGCAAGTATGAGATCACAGGTCCCAGACTGACAGGTGGGGAACCAGCATAGGACTGAACCTGAAAGAACATGAGTGTCAGTTGGGAGACCAGGGCAGTCGGGACCTCTGGCAGTGAAACCAGTATTTATCCCTAGTGTATGAATGAGCTTTGGGAGCCCATTCCCTCTATGAAGGTATACTCTCTCAGCCTAGATACACAGTGGTGAGCCTAGGTCCTACCCCAAATGATGTGACAGATTTAATGATTCCCCATGGGAGGCCTCACCCTCCCCTGAGGAGTGACTGGGGAAGGGCGGGGGGAGAATAGGAGGGAGAAAGAACTGGAATTGGTATGTAAAATAAGATTGTTTTTAATTTAAATAAAAATTAATTAAAAAAAGAAGTCCCACTATTCTGAAGTGGGTATCCTTATACATTTTAAAATACATTTGCATATTCATATATCTACAAATATGTAGTATTAGTTTTGTACATTCAGATTTTATGTAGGTAAAGGGATGGGGGACCGATTTTATCAAAATACATTATATACATGTGTGAAATCCTCAAACAATAAGAAATATTTTTATGTAATTGAAAAATAAACAATAAAACTGTACAAAACTAATGAAATGATGTAAAGATCGAAATACTGGCTAAAAACACACATCAAACTAGAACATTCGTTCTTGAAGCTCTCCTGTTGGTGTGTGGTGTGTGGTGCTTCTGATGGAAACTCAGACCACCCACAGCTACTCCCAATTCTTGTGGAGCAGAGCTCTTATAACAGACACACTCTGAAAGCTGCAGGTGCACTGCTGAGGAAACGGGAGTCTATATGGAGAAAATGTAGTCAATTCCATACATTGGACACGGCAATAAACAACACTGACTATGGGGTCAAGAATTCAGGTTAAGACCAATAGCAAACTAACTCAAGTTTCAACACCAGTCAGAGCAAGCTACAGGTCAGCAGATGAGTCAGCAGTTTAACAAGGGAAAACAAAGGAATGGCACATGCAATAAGAACTCTTAGGGGCTGAGATGTAGCTCAGAATGAAGTCCCTAACCCTGCTTCATAGGAGGTGGCCCAGGCAGTCCTGTAACATCAGCACACAGGAATAGAGGCAGAAGAATCAGAGTTTAAGGTAGCTCCTTCTCAGCCACACAAGTTTAAGCCTGGCAAGACCCACATGAAACCATGTCTTTAAAAAAATAAAACACTAAAGAGAGGACAGGTGTGATGGTACATTCCTACAGTCCAAGGACTCAGGAGGCTAGAAGCCAACTTGGCATAGTGATGCATGCCTACAATCAACAGCAGTACTAGGGAGGCTGAGGCAGAAAAACTGCTAAGGTTGAACACAGCTGAGTCTACCTACACAAGTGAATAGGAGAAAGGAAATGGACAGAATAGGAGAAGAGAAAGGAATAAAAAGAGACAAGGAAAATGAGAAAGAACATTAACTTTCTCCTGCTGGTCTAGAAGCCTATGCATGCACAAAACTATAAATATGGCCACAAATATGAAAGAAAGAAGGAAACTGCCACAAGGAGTTACTCTTCACTTCAGGAATACGAGGTCTTGTAAGTGCAGAAAGAAAGACCCAGTGCAGACCAAGAAACTACCTGAACTGTACTCCCCAAGCCTCAGAAGAACCACCTACAAAGGGTGGCAGCCTCCTTTCAAAGAATCCAAACATAACCTGTGACCGATTACATAATAACCACTAAGATATGCTGACCAGTCATTGGTTGGCCATTCCCACAGATTGTGGCTGGGCTGGTATGCCAGTCCCACTGCTGGAAGTCAGTCCAGACTCCATATCCCCCATTACTAATAGTCTTTCCTAGGGACACTCTCAACAGATTCCAGGGAGCTTTCACTACACTGGATTTCCACATCAACCCCCAAATGTCCCCAATTCCAGCTGTCTCTCCAGTACTCTCTCCCTCCATCCTTCCTCCTACCCAGACTGATCCCTCCTATTCCCATCCCCAGTCCACCCACAAATCTATTCTACTTCCCCTTCCCAGGGAGATCCATGTATCCCCTTCCAACAGGCCCATGCCACAAGAGAGAACCCACACATGACACTGCCTGGATGGCCAAGAACCAGAGGCTAGACAGTCCAGAGACCCAGGATAGAACCAAACACCACTAGGGGAACTGGAACTCAATGAGATGATTACTAATGATATTCTGCTATACTCCTAGATCTGTGCCTACCCCAATTGTCATCAGAGAGATGTCACCCAGCAACTGATGGGAGCAGATGCAGCAAAGACCCACAGCCAAATACTAGGCAGAGCTAGGAGAAGCCTGCAGAGGATGGGGAGGAAGGATTGTAGGAGCCATAGTGGTCAAGGACACCATGAGAATACAACCCAGGGAATCAACTAAGCAGGGCTCATAGAGGCTCACAGAGACTGAAGTGACAATCACAGACCCGGAATGGGCCCTCTGCATATATGCAGGAGAGGGGAGGTGGATGGGG